GATACTCTTTCCCTTTCTTTACCTTCCTATTTAATAGACATACCCAACTAACTAACTTCGTGACATGTTAGTGTTGTAATTAGAGGAAAATCTTCGTAATTAGAGAAAATATCTGTAGAATCTTCTAATTTATTTTTCAGCATATTTTTTCCTTATTTCCTTATTTTGGAAGATTAGATTGTTACAAATAGGTGTAAAGAAAATGTAATAGGGATGAATGTTAATAATAAATCATTCTCTTTTTCCAAGTTGGTATCAAAGCTCCCCAAGATCCGTTTCCGCTGCAACAGTAGCCACCGTCATCGCTATCAGGCCACTGCGGCCGCCACAGTAGCCATTGGGGGGTCGTGGATAGGGCAAAAAGGTGCGCCCAACTCCGGCGAACACAACGCTGGAATTCGCTTCGAGAAATACGCTACCATGCGCCACCACTGTCGCCGACACGTGTAGCTCACGCGCCTAGCTCTGGCGAGACCCACTCGCCGCTGCCGTCACAAAAAGAGTCACTGAAGCCTCCTGAGTCCGTTTCACGGGTCGGTGACATCCCATTTGGCCCAGATTTGAGTAGATATGAGTTTTGAGTTTTGCTCCTTTTCCGGTGACGTCCCACACGCCTAGTTCTGACGAGACCCACTAGCCATTGCTATCACAGAACCGGTCGCCGGAGCCTCCTAAGTCCGTTCCACGGGTCGGTGACGTCCCATTTGGCCTAGATTCTAGTAGATCTGAGTTTTTTGAGTTTTTGCTCCTTTTCCGGTATAGCCAGCCCACTTACGTTACCACCATCAGATTTTTGAGATGAAAGCTTTTAAAGAGGAACTAGATCATTTGAAAGCAATGATTGAATCAATAAGTAAGCCCTTTGGACCATGTACTCTGTCCATGAAAGGTAAGAGTTCTCTCCATACTATGGGTCCTGTGTCTCAAGGTATGTGGATTCTTGATTCAGGAGCAACTGATCATATGACACCTTTTCGTATGATCTTCAAATCATATATTCAAAGGAATAGAGAACAACTTATTACAGTTGCGAATGGTCAAGGTGTACCCATATGTGGCTCTGGGAATATAATTTTGGAATCATCTATTGTATTAAAGGATGTTTTACATGTTCCACAATTAGCCAATAATCTTATCTCTGTGCAAAAGCTCACAAAAGATTTAAATTGTTCAGTAATATTTTTCTCGACTCATTGTGTTTTTCAGGACCTTGCTATGGGAAAGACGATTTTAAATGCTAAAGAGCAGAGTGGGTTGTATTTGTTGGAATCTGATGACCAAAACAAAACAAAAATCATGAGTCAACAAGCTACATCTGAGACGTGGGCAAATTCCCAAATATGGCTACATCATAAAAGGCTTGGGCATCCTTCATTCAACCTTCTCAAGTCCTTATTTCCTCATTTGTTTACTAAGGAATCTGTTGAGTCTTTTAATTGTGATATTTGTCAATTGTCAAAACACCATCGTGCATCCTATCCTATTAGTAATAAAAAGAGTACTTCTCCATTTGATTTAATTCACTCTGATGCTTGGAGACCTGTCGTAGAATCTATTTCCAAAGCTAAATGGTTCGTTACCTTTATTGACGATTGTACCCGTGTCACATGGACATAACTTATGAAAAATAAATCAGAAGTTTTCCAAATCTTTGTTAATTTTTTCCGTCTGGTCCAAAATCAATTTGGAAAAAATATCAAAAGAATCAAGTCTGATAATGGTATTGAATATGTGAATCATGAATTTATGAATTTTTTGTCTCATAATGGTATTGTTCATGAACTAACATGTGTAAACACCCCTCAACAAAACAGGGTTGCAGAAAGAAAGAATCGTCATCTTCTTGAAGTAACTAGAGCTCTTCTTTTTCAAATGTCTGTATTAACTGCCACATACCGGAGAGGATCTTTTCTCTGATGAAATGGCAGTCAACCTCTATATGCTTTGTTCTCTCATGAAAAACTGGATTAGAGGAGAGGTATAAAGCTGACTGGTTATCACAAACTAGTTCCATATGACCAACCTTGCAAAACTGCAACTCTTGAATTAAGAATTTTAGCCACAAGAGCTCACATGTGGTGTGAGCCATAGCACGATATTCTGCTTCTGTACTTGATCGTGCAACAACACTTTGCTTTTTACTCTTCCATGAGACAAGATTACCACCCATGAAGACACAATAGCCTGATGTTGACCGCCTATCACTTGCATCACCTGCCCAATCTGCATCTGAATATCCAACAATGTTTGTATGTCCTCTATCATTGTAAACAAGTCCTTTTCCTGGTGATCTTTTGATGTATCTAAGGATTGGCGGGACTTGGGTTTTTCCCAATACCCCCTAATATCGAGTTTACCTAGTTGAGTCTTTGGATGTACTGCTTTTGTTCACTCTCATCATCCTAATTGTAGTAAATTAGATCCCAAAGCTCTTAAATGTGTCTTTATTGGGTATCCTTCTAATAAAAAAGGGTACAAATGTTATCATCCTCAGAGTCGTCGCATCTTTATCACCATGGATGTCACCTTTCATGAAACATAATCCTTTTATGTCAGTCCACCACTTCAGGAGGAGAAAGCACTTGAAATGGAGGAGCTCTCTTTCTTATCATTACCATATTTGTCTTTGCAGGATGTCCAAGATTTGAGCAATGAAGCTACCATGGTCCACAGCGAGGAAGAAGAGGAAGAAGACAAATTTTTTGGCAAAAAATATGAAAGAAGAAACAACCCACTTCGACTCTCGAGCAAGAAAAGTTGTCTAATCTGGAGGTGAGGATCCCTGAAGATAACAGTGAGGAGTTAAGTATTACTGAGGATTTACCCATTGCATTGAGAAAGGAAAGAAGGTCATGCGCTAAATATCCTATTTCTCGATATGTTTGCACTAACAATCTCTCTGATAAGCACAAAAGTTCCATTGCTGCCATTGATGCCACATAAATTCCTACCTCAATCTAGGAGGCCATGAAACTTGAACATTAGACTCAAGCCATGAAAGAAGAGATGAATGCATTAGAAAGAAATTCAACTTGGGAGATCGTTGATAAGCCAAGAGACAAGGCAATAGGATGTAGATGGATATTCACAGTGAAACATAAGGCAGATGGGACAATAGAAAGATATAAAGCTAGATTGGTGGCAAAAGGTTATATCCAAACTTATGGGATTGACTATGAGGAGACATTTGCCCCAGTGGCAAAGATGAATACAGTTCGAGTTGTTCTCGCTTTGGCTGCTCATTTTGGTTGGGACTTACACCAGTTGGATGTGAAGAATGTCTTTCTTCATGGAAATCTGAAAGAGGAAGTGTACATGGAGATTCCCTTAGGTTTTGAAGTGCAAAATGAAATAAACAAGGTATGTCTCCTAAAGAAAGCATTGTATGGTCTTAAGCAATCCCCTAGAGCATGGTTTGGAAGATTTACAAAAGCAATGGTTTCCTAGGGATACAGACAAAGGCAAGGAGATCATACTCTATTCATAAAGCACTCTTCTACAGGTAAACTCACTTTATTGCTTGTCTATGTAGATGATATGATTATTGCAGAAGATGATAAAATAGAAAAATTGGCATTGAAAGAAAAATTAGCAGCCCAATTTGAAATGAAAGACCTAGGAAAACTCAAATATTTTCTTGGAATAGAGGTTGCTTACTCCAAGAACGGAATTTTCATCTCCCAAAGGTAATATGTACTTGATCTCCTCAAAGAAACAAGAAAGCTGGGATGTAGAACCTCAACAGTTCCTATAGAACAGAATCATTGGAAGTGAAGAAAGTGCTCCTGTAGAAAAGGCCCAATATCAAAGATTGGTAGGAAAATTGATTTATCTATCACACACAAGACCAGACATTGCTTATGCAATTAGTATATTGAGCCAATTTATGCATGATCCAAGAGAGAGACACATGCAAGCAGTTGACAAAATTCTCCCGTACTTGAAGTCAAGTCCAGGAAAGGGGCTATTGTTCAAAAGGGAAGACACATTGACTATGAAAATATATACTGATGCTGACTATGCAGGTTCTATTACTGACAGAATATCTACTTTTGGGTATTGTATGTTTCTTGGAGATAGTCTGGTAACGTGGAGGAGCAAAAAGCAAGATAAAGTATCTTGTTCTAGTGCAGAAGCTAAATTCCGAGCCCTTGCTCAAGGAATGTGTGAAGGACTCTGGATGAAAATCATTTTGGATGACCTTAAAGTCAAGGTGGACAACCCCGTACAATTATACTGTGACAATAAGTCTGTCATGAGTATTGCCCATAATCCAGTACAACATGACAGGATCAAACACATTGAGATTGACAGACATTTCATCAAAGATAATCTAGACAGAGGCTTTGTGATTACAACTCATGTTCCTACAGAACTTCAGATAGCAGATAGTTTTACAAAAGGGCTCCCTCAGGGCAGATTTCAAGATCTTGTAAGCAAGTTGGGAATGATTGATATTCATTTACCAACTTGAGGGGGAGTGTTGTAATTAGAGGAAAATCTTCGTAATTAGAGAAAATATCTGTAGAATCTTCTAGTTTATTTTTCAGTATATTTTTTCCTTATTTCCTTATTTTAGAAGATTAGATTGTTACAAATAGGTGTAAGGAAAATGTAATAGGGATGAATGATAATAATAAAATCATTCTCTTTTTCCAAGTGTTAGTTATACCAGCTGTAATCAGTTACAATCAATTCAAGGATTTTGATCCCCTATAAATCCCCCCCCTCCCCGTTTTTTTTTTCCTCATAGACCCTCACAATAGGGGGTCGGTACCTTCTCAAAAAAACAGAAATTTTTTTTTGTAAATATAATCCCATTTAATTTTTAAGTTAATCATGAAGGCAGAGAAAGAAAACTAGAAGATATATGCTTATACACTATAATATTTTTGTTGCTATCAGTTAGAATTGTCTACATATTATCTTGGAATGTCTTAAGTATATACTATCTCTTAAAATATCTTTAGTGTACGCAACATCTTATTAGATATTTATATAGTAGAATCAATTAGTAATCTAATTGATGAACATGTTTAGGAGTTGTTCCCTATTCATTAAGATTTGTAGTCTTGCTGTATTAGTGAGTTTGGGCTTGTACTAGTAATACTACACCAGGACTCAGATCAAATTATAAGCAAAAACAGAACCACCAGAATGGTATTTTATATCATATTGTAACACACCATATATCAATATACATCCTATTATTTAGAGAAACTTTATTCTCTTTGCCTTCTTCCCTATCAAGGATTTAACTTTTCTAAAGTGAGAACATGTGTAAAGTGAAAAAGTAGAGGGGTATTCACCCTTGATTTGAACTAAAGTACGACATAAATTTAATACACTTCAAATCAAAGGTAGATATCTTACTTTCTCACTTTACACACTCTCACTTTAAAGAAGACAAATTCCTTTATCTCAACTAAATAATTTCAACACTAAGGGAAAAAAGAATAACCCATCTCTATGTACTTCATAGTTACTAAAAAACAGCAAGATTACTTCAAGCAAAGTAAACCTCTAGAAAAATACTGATAAAAGAAAAAAAATGTTTGAAAACCTATAAACCAAAGGAGCCAATAACTTTAAACATTCAACATGGTAAAATGGAAATCAATATTATGCTTTTTAACTAGTTACAATTGAAGAAGACTAAGTTCAAACCTCTAGCCCTCCACACTTTGATGCAATTATTTGTGCTGTTTCAGAAGCTCGTTGCAAGTCAGAAGAATATATAATAGTGGCCTTAGATTCCCTGGATAGTCTTTCACCCACCTTGATAGTAAAATTTTCAGGAATTAGGTTCACAAATCCATAAATAACAAAAAACGTAAAGCAAGGATCCAGTCTTGGACTCATAGTTTATATATAGAAATGAAAGAATGCTAAAGGAACAACTTACTGCAACTGCTTGCTGTCTTCCATTTTCATTTAATTCAACATCCAGATGCCCCTGTTAACATATGACCAAAATTTGAACATACCAAGGCCAGAAAACTCCAAAAGGAACCACATATGTAACAAATAATGCACAAAAAGAAATATTATTAAATATAAACACATAGATGGTGGAAACTTATGTCACTGTTGAAGGACTAGGATATTTAAATAGCATCTTATCAATAGTATGCATGAAAAGAATAAACAAACTATACTAGTTGCCTTTTCTGAGGTTCATCAACATTGGAAAACTGACATTCACAAGAAACCTGCAACATTTGTTCAAAAGGTAACAATTTTATATTCAAAATTTATTTACAAGTACGCAACTTTAATTGTACCCAACAAATCCGAAAGTTTGTAACTTTTGGATATAAACATTGTATCTTGGTTTTTATATGAAAGACATAAAACTTACATAATTTTCATAAGATAAAAGGATTCTTTTTGTGAAACACCAGAACTGTATAATTTGTTTGGATAATGTTTTAAACAAGCTAATCATACACCAACTTCTCAATAATATTTTTGTGAAACACCAGAACTGTATAATTTGTTTGGATAATGTTTTAAATAAGCTAATCATACACCAACTTCTCAATAATATCCTGAAAGCTAAAACTGAGATGAAATTACAGGGAAGAAAAGTATGGGCAATTGGATTACAGACAAAGAGCCTTTTGACTCTTTTAACATGATGTACTTTTGGTTCATGTCGCCCAAAAAGTGGATGTGCTGAGCCAATGTGGATCCAGGTACAGGTTAATGTGGGAGGAACTCAGCCCCCTTTCAATTTCACTGATGCTTTTAAAGATGGTACATCGTCTTTTTATTGTCCAGGCTATGTTGAAGTTCACCCCACCCAGCCCAAGTAGTCAGCAGAAAATAGTTCCACAGATGGCATCTAATGTGTACACTAATGAATATTCCACACATTACCTTAAATATTTAGGATCTGTTTGGTTAAAAGGAGGGGAGGGAAAGGGAGGGATTTTAATGGAGGGGAAAGGAGGAGTTGAAATTTTGTTTGGTTGAGAGAAGTGGATGAGAGGGGTGGCTCTTTTTTTGTTTGGTTCACAAGGGGAAAGGAGAGATAAAAACCAATTTACTTTTGTATCATTATAATTTTAAAATTTAATAACATAAATAAGAATATATTAGATATTATATTAAAATATTTTAAATTCCCTCCTCTTCGCTCCTAAAATTTGAACCAAAAAACTATGTTAGAGAAAATGGTATTTAAACTACTAAAACACATACTGCAGAAGCCAAAACAACGATAGCAAACTCAAATTAGGTAGAACACTTCACATCACCAAAATTCATATTGAAGTAAGAAACATATACTGCAATTCAAGAAGGAAAAACACTCTGCAGTTTATTTTTTCTAATAGAACGACTCCACAAGACTTTCATCCCGATTTCACATCACCTATAAATCACTCATCATTTTTATTGCATTGTTATTATTGATTCTAACGTACCCAAAGTTGAAGTAAATTTGAGTCATGACAGGGAAATGCTACTTTCCTTGATAAAGCATATCTTTGGAAAACCTAAATATTTGTATTTCCGCTGAATGTAACAAATGCAATATTGAACGAAACAAATTCGGCAGGCGGAGAGAAAAATCACCTGAATTTTTCCAGTGGCATTCCATGCTGTTTCGCCATGACGCACCACAACAATCTCGGCATAATCTGGATGGGGGCTGTTATTAGAAGCATCATGATCATGATGCAACCAATTACTTTGAGAATAGTGAATATACTTAATAGATTAAAATAATAAAAAAATAATTAAAATTTAAAATTGTAAAAATCAAGTGTTTTGAGTAAAAATTTAGGAGGAGGAAGTGTTTTAGTTTTGGTGTTGAGAATGAAAAGCGAAAGAGGAATTAAGGGAACCTGGAATGGGAACCGTTGATAATGGAAGAGTCAGCCATTGTGAGTGATCCTGCGTGTCTTCTTCGCTAATTTTGAGAATAAGGTTTCGTTTCCTCGCTTGCGTTTCGGATACACCTACTGTTTCTATTGGCCAGAAGTTACACTAATGACTAACCCTTACTTTTTTCTTCCAAAAGGCCTGCGCTTTAAATTTTTCTTTTTTATACAGGTTAAGAATAAATTCATACTCTTTTTTTTTACTTATGTTATATATAAATAAATCAAAATTAATTTCACATTAAAATATATTTAATTTTCACACTTTTACATAAATTATACTAGTTCTATTTTCTAAAGCATCTTTAACCACATATATTATAGTATATAGGTAGCGCTCTCACTTATTCTTTTAGAAATAATTTTGAATTAAAGTGGAGTTTGATATACAACAATTTTTCTTTTTTTTTTTTATGTTTGGAAATTATGATTTATGAGAACCATAAATACTGTAACATGATTTTTTTACCGTATTAAAACTTTATTTTTATCATAAGAAAATTAGAGTTTGCTTAGTTTAACCGTTTTTTATTTTACAAAAATGTGTTTACTTTTAATTTTAGAAAATGTTTTCTTTGATAATGTTTGTAAAAGAAGTCCAAAATTGAAAATAAGAAATGTCATTTTCACTATTTTATGCACTTTTGAAAACATGGTTGTATGTGAAAGTAATTATTAAAAATTTATACAATTTTTTTTTTATACTTGCAGTTTTGTACACATAATTTAATAGACTTAACCTTTTTTATACATGTAATTCAATTGATTTGTCTTATATTTTCTTTTGGATGGAGAGAAGTTTTGTTTGGTAGTTGCATATGTGTTATATATATTAATATTATAAAATTTATTAGATATAATTATTCTATAGAATTTTAATTACATGTATTGTTTATATTATTTAATTATTTTAATTAAATATTATTTATTAAATATGATTAATATTTAGTGTTATTAAGTTTTGGTTGCTATATTTTAAGATAAGTAATATAGATTATATATATATATATATATATATATATATATTATTTACAAAGATAAAATATATATTTTGTTTTGATATATAATTATTGCTTGTTAGATAATAAATTGTTCATTTGATACGAAAAAATATAAGGGATATTTGCATGCATTTCAAAGTGAAATTCACTTATTATGAAGAAAATATTCAGATAAAAATAAATATAAGAGAGTGAAAAGAATGAAATATTTACAAAATAAAATATTATTCTAATTCATATATAGAGAGTAATTTTAATTATAAATTTTATATAAAAATATTTTATGAACTTTTTTTAAAAATAGTCAAACCAAACATGTTTTTCTAAATTTTAAAATTAGAAAATAAAAATTATTTCTAAAAATAAACATATAAAATATTTCTTGAAACCAACACATTCTCAATTTTCACTTTCCTATGATAATAAATAGAAAACTTATGCAAAAATCATTTATGAATGTTTCCTAAAAATATTTTTTAAATAACAAACCAACCAAGGAAAACTAATTAACTTTTCTAACGTTAGATTTCCGAGGAAGTAAAAAATTTTATGTGTATCAAACACCTTGTTAGAGTATTAAATAAATTTGACTTGATAAAAATTTGATTATGCTACAAAATGTTTAATATCAATTTCAATAGACAAACAATACCCAATAAAAAAATTTGGGATGTAAATTCACCAACATTAATAAGACATATTTTTTTAATTGGTTATAAAAAGATGAACTTTTAGTCACATTAATTGAACAATCAATCTCACAAATGTTTAGTTATGAGTTAACAATAAATGACATGACCATTTAATTGATACAACAATTAAAATCATAAAATATTTAAATGATTCACTATTGATTTATAAATATTACCCTATGTGCATTATAAAAATATGAGACATTTATTCTTATCTTTCTTGGTGTTGATTGTTAGCATTTAACAAGTGTATCGAATTTGCAAATAGTAAAATTGGACTTAAGTCCAAATATCGTATTCATAGGAACTTGTACAATAACTAATTATAATTTAGTGCTAATTAGGAATGTTGATACCCTCTACCCCATGTCAGAACCTGAAAAATTATGATTTTACCCACAGATGGTTTTAGACCTCTATTTGAAAAATCTCATCAATCAAGAAATGTTCAGATACCAGACTAATCCTTAATTAATGATTTTGAAAAATGGTTTGTGGAAGACGCCATAATGTTTTGCTCAAAAAATCGAAAAAAGAAAAGGGTTTTCAAAAAATGCCAACTTAGCCTTTACAATCAGAATTGGGCTCGGGGGTCAATTATGTGTAAGGAAGGTGTTAGGCACCCTATAACGTCCTAAATTGGTACCATTATGATGAAACTAACGCGATAGAGAATAATAGCTTGAATATTCAATTCCCTTTATTAATGGTTACTTACATGCTTTAAATTTAAATTACGCGATTGACGTTAAGACGTCTACATGGTTGCTTTTATTTATGGCGATAATTACGACAAATATGATAGATGATAAAGAAAGACTTTGATAAAATACCTCTTGAATGAACTTTATAAAGGGAGCTTTAATGTGGTAGACTTAAGTAGGGATGGCAATGGGGCCCCATGGGGGCGGGTAATAGTAAATCCGTCCCCGCCCTGCTAGATGAAAATTGGGCCCATACCCACCCCATATCCGCGCGGGTATCCATTAAGCGAGTATCCATGAATTTCTTGAATACTCATGGATATCCATGGATATCCATGGATATTTATAAATTTTTTAAGAAATTAAAAAAATTATATTACAAATAATTTTAAGTTTATATTTAATGTCATTGAAATATTAAAAAAAATTCAATGTTAATTTTAAACTTGTATTTAACATTAATTTTGTTAAAATATAATAAAAATGCAAGATAATCAATAACTTAAAATACATCAATCTCATAAGTAAGTGAAAGTCTCATGTTACCTAGCTACAATTATTCAATCTCATAATTCCAAATGAAAGTAAACAACTAAAAATACATAAATCTTATTGGCTCAATCAAAGATAGAAAATTAATCAAATTACATCTAACATAATTCTATAACATGCTTAACACATGTTGGTAACTTCATCAACCTCACTTTTGTAAGAAAATAAGATGAGAGAGTGTAGTTTTAAGGTTATGTGGTACAAGGATAATAAGGATATTTAAGAAATATTATTAAACGGGTATCCGCGGGTATGGATATCATCGTACCTGCCCCCGCCCCGTTTATAAACGGGTAAAAAATTATCCGCCCCATTATCCGCAAGTACCCAATTAACCTATCCATTTATTATCCGTAACGGGTTTTACCCGCAGATACTCGCGGGTGCGGGTATTTTTGCCATCCCTAGACTTAAGGCACTTTTTGACTGCCTTGCACACTATAATTTGCCTTACAAATCTCAAGAAATACAAAGAACGAGGAGAAATAAAATATCTGAAATATCTAAGACTCTAATAGACTAATTTTGTTCCATTTCGGCTCCCTTAGCACTATGTACAAGGTGTCTATTTATAGGCACAAAAATCAATCGGAACAGCTATTCTAATTATCGGAATAGGACGTTCTGGGTGAATTTGTTACGAGTAAAATTTGAATCTGGAATGGCCCATTCTGAAATTAGAACGGCCCATTCCAAATTTGAATTTTACTTATAACAACCTGGGTCAAAATGGCCCGTTCTGGATTGGGAACGACCCGTTTTGACCTAGGGTTTCTAGGCTATTTTAGAAATTTGGAACGGCCTATTCTAGATTGAGAACGACTCGTTCCACGCTCCTAATTTGACTTCTTTGGACTTTTGGGCCTTCTGATGTTCTCTTGGTCCATTTGATGTTGATGGGCCATTTCGGTGTTGCGTTGGCTCATTCTAACGTCCTATTTGGGCCTTCGGGAACTCCTTTGTCTCATACCAAAGGTCCATTTTCTTGTTTGCATGTCCCAGACGAAATTAGGTGTCTACACCCCACATATACAATAACTATGAAATAAAAAGTGTTTAACAAAAATAATTGACTTCATGTATAAATAACCAATTGAGAAATTCAAACTTTGGAAGAGGATATCATATAAAAACTAAATCCAACAATAACCTCTAATAAAAACATCATTAAATAAATCTAAAATCATGCCTTAAGATACAAAAAGATAATGTAAATAAAAAATCTTAAATAATGTCCTGCTACAACATCTTATCAAAGCACTCCCATACAAGGTCTAGGCCTCATCACCAACATTATCAACATCTTTATGAGTCTCATCTGCAACAACATACATATAAAAGTAACATAGAAATCAAGGAGTGAGAAACATTTCACTATAGCATACGGTGTAAAATAAGATCGAATAGCCAAAGATACACAACGATAATATACACACATCATATACACATACAATTAAATCAAAACAAGATACAATTAAACAAATAGGATTCACCATTTCACTTGTCATATCACTCATCACATAATACACATTCACAGACGAGATGCAATGGATACAAACTACGATTTGCATCTGTATGTGGCCCCAATCAAATATATATATGTGTGTGTGTATATATATATATATATATATATATATGTATGTATGTATGTATGTATAGATTCTCTTATTTGTGTGCATATAATGCATGTCACACACAAGACTCGATGCAATATCATGTTATCAATATGCGTATTCACAACAATATGTCAATCACATTTCATTTACAACATTCATTCATTATAACATCACAATTCATACTCAATGCATCATATTCAATCATATCTAACAATTATCACAAAAGTCATCCATATCATTTACCATTAGCTATAACAAAGAGAGAATACCAAACATAGGACGACGCTTGTGGCAACCAACTCGTGCCTAGTGTGGCGCACCCAAAGAGCACTCTTAGCTCTCTAAATGACTCACACTTGGTGTGACTCACCTCACACCTAGTGAAATAGCCACAGGGAACCCTTGGAGCTACCATGCTCGACAAGACCAACCCACGCCTGATGTGAGTGACATAGAGAGCAACTTTGCTCTTAGCCATAACGACGCCCAACGAGCCCAAGATGGCACTCGATGTTGAATAAAAAAATCACAACTACAGAAAATGTGAATTCATACAACAAGTATA